ACATATATTCATCTATATATTGGACACAGTTACTAAAACTTCTGAGATATATTCAAACACCTTGTGGAACTGAGTTACTCAGCTTTAAAGCTAAGGATCATAGTCTCAGTGGACATCTAAAGTCAATTGGTATATCACAGTTCATAAAGATAATGCTCTCCATCCTAGTTTGGTAAGTTGCGTTTGGGGGCTTAAAGGTTTACAAGCAGCCATCTAAGATACAACTATTGTTTTTTTCCCATCTGAAGCAAATGAGAATGAAGGAAAACAAAGACTCAAGGAAGAAATTAGTGCACAGGACTAATGGCCCATGCAAACCACAGCCTCTTCTAGTCTGAGACCAGAAAAACTAGATGGTACACAGTTACCACCACTGACTACTCTGACCAGGGACAGAACAGAAGGTCCTGGTTAGAATGGGAGAAAAATGTAGACCAAAACTCAAACTCATAAAAAATATCAGACTTGCTGGACTGATAGAAATTGGAGGAACCCCCAAGACTGTCGTCCTAAAATACTCTTTTAATCTGGAACTGAATCTACCCCTGGAAGTGACTTTTCAGCCAAATAATACATTGGTCTATAAAATAAGCAATAACATCATGTAGAACATGCTCCTTAGACCAATCCACTATATGAGATCAAATGCGCAACATCTGCCCAAAAGCAAAGGCAGAAGGCAAGGAGGGGCAAGGAAACTGGTGGGACAGAAACAAGGAAGGAAGGATGGAAATGATGAGAGTGCTGACATATTCTGGGAATAGCAAACAATGTCATGGACCAAGGTGTGTAAAAATTGTTTAATGGGAAACTAATTTGCTGTGTAAACTTTCACTTAAAACACAATTAAGTGTTAAAAAAAAAAGATGGCAAGAATATATGAAATAAATGCAAACAGATGATCACCTCAACCCAAGAAAGTAAAAAAGCAGCAGCAATGAGTTCTACCCTAAGCTCAGTATTATTAAAGCCAAACAGAAGTAATATACAGCTAGAATTCCAATAACTTTACTTCTTCATAGACTGAATTTACTTACTAGCTTCATATGTGATCCCACTTGCTTCCTCACTCCAGTCACTCCAGAATCCCTTACCATCTTCCTTCATACAACGCATCCTAAACACATATTCAGTAAAAGGTTTAAGGTCCTGGATGGTGAATGAAGATCGGGTGGATGATGTATCTTCAGGAGGAATCTGAACCAAAACAAAACAACCAACAAGAACAACAACAACAACAAAATCCAATGATACTTACAACAGGTTTTATAAATTGTATAAAATTTTGGAAATCAATTTAATGAAGCAAGACTAATAAATTATCTTAAACTCTAGAAAAAAAGAAATACGAATTAAAAAGCATTGAAAAAAAAACCAAACAGTAAAGTTACTAGGTTTGAAAAGTATGGAAATATCTATCATTCTTCCTTCTTTTTTTCTCTCTCTTCCATGTGGCCAGTAACACTCAGAATCTCAAAAGAAAAAAAATGGTACAGTGCAATTAGAATTCATTCAAGGAGGATTTAGTAAAGGGACTAAGCACGGTGTAGGAAAACTTCCTTAGAGGGACAGTCAGTATACTGGAGCTTGTAGCAGAGGGAAATTTTATCATTATGCCCATAGGGATAAGAGAAGGTACCAAAAAGAACCTGGAAGAAGAGGGACAGAAAGAGTGGGTTGCCTTCATAGAGCAGTGACCTTCAGGTGAGAGACACAGCCAGTTCCAGGGAGGGAAGGGGAATAAAAACACAGATCTCACTCTCTTCTGCTCCTCTTCTCTCCTGCCAGATCTCCTCCCCTCACCAGCCAAACTTACTAGGAAACTAGAAGGAATAGTAACTCACTGATGGAATACATAAAGGTCATATCTCAAGACAAAAGAGTCAGGCAGAGAAGGGCAGAATGCAGATCTGGACAGACCAAAAAAAAAAAAAAACATAACTTAGGAGCTCTGGTAGCATAGTGCCTAAGGCACTTGACTGCTAACCAGAAGGCTGGCGGTTCAAACCCACCAGCCACTCCTCGGAAGGAAGGTTGGGCAATCCTACTTCCGTAGTGATACTGCCTCGGAAACCCAAGGAGGGGTCGCTATGAGTCGGGGCTGACTCGACGGCAAATAACAACGACAACAAGCCCTATCTTCTTTAATTCTTTCTCCTACTCTGAGATTTCAATATTGGGTACAAAATAGAAGTCAGTCTATTTTGTACCACCAGATTAAGATTCTGTGATATTAAAAAATATTTGGAGAACCTCAGGTATGTATCCACTTGGTACAACCTGCAATATTAATCCAATTTTATTTGTTTCTTTTTTTAAATTGGATTCTGAGCCCTGAAGATAAGTGGGGGTAGAGGACACTTATAAGTGGGACAGAGGGCAGAAGCAGTGCATTAATTAGTGCAACCAGAGAAACAAACAAAAAGCCTACATACTCTTAGTGACAACCAGTCATAACAAAGAATAGTATGGGTAGCTGAATGCTACAGAGATAGCCTTTGAAATACTCTAACAATTTCCCTCTGATTACAGCATCATCATCTTTGGGTGGTGCAGTATATCATAATACTGATTCAGAATCATAGCAACACTATAGGACAGAGTAGAATTGCCCTACAGGGTTTTCCTAGGTTGTAATCTTATCTCTTCTCCCATGGAACCACTGACAGGTCTGAATCACCAACCTTTTGGTTAGCAACTGAATGCTTAACCATTGCACCAACAGGGCTCCTTATCATTGGGTGCAGCATTCTAATTTAACCTCTTCTCCTTCCAGTCTTACAAGTTTCCCACAAAAACCTTCTTCTATCTCAGGGACTGGCAAATGTTTTTAGTAAAGGGCTGTTGTTGCTGTTTGTTGTGTACTATCAAGTCAATTTATCCTCACAGAGACCTTGTAGGACAGAGTAGAACTACCCTACAGGGTTTTCTAGGCTGTAATCTTGATGGGATATTGTCAGATCTTTTCTCCCACAGAGCTGCTGGTGTGTTTGAACTGTTACAATCTTTCAGTTAGCAGGTGAGTGCTTAATCTTGTGCAACCAGTGCTCTATCTATAAACACAGAGTAAATATTTTAGGCTTTGTGAGTCAGATGAGCTCCGCTGGAACCATACACACTTCTCGTTTATTGACGTCGTTAGGTTCCAAAGATAACATCATTATGTGAAAATCAATGTCAGGCAAAAATGGAGGATGACCACATCAGATCACAAAATGGAGGATGATTATATCATTACATAAATGGCATATTACATCATTGTGTAACTACCAAATTATATCATTACCTAACTGTCAAACCACTAAAAATCATCGCCCAGCCAAGTTCACACTTAACTTTAACCATCACAGACAGTGTTAACTCTCATCCTAACACTCGGCATTTATTATATTGTTATGTGCGTAAAATAATCAGAGAGTAGATTTTTTAACTATTGTTGTAAATGCAAAATGTCAGATAATGAGATAGTTGATAAGTAAGGAATAGGTGCCACTGTAGCAGAAAAAATACATAAACATTACATAGATGAGAATGGTGTTCCAATAAAACTTCAGCAACACTGGGCTGGATTTGGACAATGCGTTTTTCTTCAGTAACTCCTGCTCTACTTTATTCATATAATCCCTTTATTTTTGCCTTCACTTCATTTGCTTATCACTTGTATTCCTATCTCATCTCTGATCAAAAATGACATTTCCTAAAGCCTTGCATACATCCCTTTCATATTTCACTTAAAGGTGCCAGTATACAGCAAGTCTATGTTTTCTATCTGGACATCATCCTGTTTGTCCTTGCTTGAAATAAAGCTCTAGAAAAGGTATCAAGCACAATATTTCATCTTACCAGATACTTAAGACATTCAGAAAATGATTGAGACTTTTTAGGTTAGAGGATCTACAATAAATATTATTGAAACAAACATAACTTTCAATTTACCTGGCTCCAAGATGAGGCATCCTTGGTCTTATATTGAATGTCGTATTTCAGTCTTATAAAACCCTCGATACTTGGGTTGATCCATGCCAATTTTAAGATACTAGACAGTTCCTCTGAGTTTCTGACTGATAAATTATGCGGTGCGTGGGGCTTCACTAAAGAATAAAATAAATCCTCATGTTTAACATATTTTATTTTTAAAACTTCATATATAAATTAAAATATACTCTTTATATTTTTCTTTATTTTACAATACTCATTTATCCTTACCAAATGAACTAATTAAACAGAAAACTATGCTACATCATGCTATCATAATGGAAAGGAAAGTTTTTAAAGAAACTTTAATTTTCTTTGTTTTTTTATTCCATTTGTTAATCTTTACAGGTTAGGCTATCAAAATACAATTAAGTACTTATTATTTATCAAGTTAAAAAAAAAATGCATTCCTGAACATGAGCTGTAGCCTGTTACTTCCCTAACCTCTATAATCATGAAAAAAGAAAATGCTACGCAATCACTGAGTGGACTATACCATAATATTCAAAATAAAAACAGCTATGAGTGTGGGTTTAAGGATAGTTATTTTTCCTAAATTATTTTTAATATTGCTGATAAAATGGCTTCGTAAGAAATAACTAAGAAAATCAAACAATTGCTTGTTTCTGTATTAATTAAAATCTGAAAACTATTTTAAATTATAAGCCAGTGTATGGTCGAATAAATTCCCAAATTCAGGTTTATAATTACCTTTATCTACAGGATCAAAATTGATATGATCTGATGTAACCTTCCCAAGAGCATTCTCTGCTTCCACCCAGACTTCAATGTTGACAAAAAATACAGGAAGATAATCAAGAATACACGAATTGGGTGTATCATGCTTTGGTTTACAATCAGCAAACTTCTCAGTTATCCTAAATACAAAATTGTAAGAGTCAGTCACTAAAAACAGAGTTTAAAAAGTTAGACTGAAAAAGATTACTTGAAAAGGGTCTGTTGAGATCCAGACTGTCATAGCAAAGTTTAGAATAAACTGTTCATCACTAAAAGCAAGTACAATTTCTTAAAATTAACCAGTCTCTCTTTAAGTTTGATATATATATCAAAATTAGAAAATTATTTTCAAAATTCTGCTATAAGAACATTGCATTTTAGAATTTCATGATCTATCCTATCTTTTCCAAATGTTATTTTTATCTATTTCCTTAAGTTCCTAGCACTGTTTTTTCCATTTCCTGAAAGAGAATCCTTACTGAACCAGAAATGTCTTTATTTAAGCACAATAATGCTTTTTCTGAGTACAATATGCCAGGACTGATATGAAGATAGGGATGTTGTTGTTATGTGCCGTCAAGTCGGACCCGACTCACAGCGACCCTTCCTTGGGTTGCCGAGGGTCAGTATCACTACGGAAGTAGATTGCCCAACCTTCCTTCCGAGAAGTGGCTGGTGGGTTTGAACCACCAGCCTTCTGGTTAGCAGATAGGGATAAGAATAAAAAAATTCGCTTAGTTTCTTTTTAGTCAACCCCACTCCACCCAGGCAATCACTTTTCTAACACTGATCAAAATAAAAAGCTTCAAGTGATATTACTATATTTACTCACTATGTACAAATTAAGGAGCTCTGCTGGTGCAGTGCCTAAAGCACCTGACTGCTAACCAGAAGGTTGGCGGTTCAAAGTCACCAGCCACTCCACGGAAGGAAGATGGGGCAATCTACTTCCGTAAAGATGTACTGCCTTGGTAACCCAATGGGGTTCGCTATGAGTCAGAATTGACTTGATGGCAGTGTTTTTTTTTTTTTTTTCTTTCCTTATTTGGTTATGTATAAATTATACCCAAATTAACATATTTACATACACAACTATTTTTCAAAATGGAAGGATAAAAAAAAGTAACCTTATGGCAGTGGGTGGGAAAGGCAAATATTAAAAGTAGCTATTGGTTTATAATGGGATAGAGCAAATTATGCTGGTGCTGCTGGGAGCTAGAGTTTTCAGTATAAACAAAAGGAGATGTAGACGTAAGAGAAAAATTATATGAATAGTACCTCAGGGTAACCAACAGTTGATGAAGGGAAGTTTGCCTTAAGTATTTCAGATATAAAAGAGAAAAGGAAATGATAAAATACCATGATTTTATAACTCATAAAAAAATAACCCTCATTGATGACTGCTCAAATTTTAGGTAAAAATATTACTAGAAAGTTAACGATATGATTAAGTTTCAGAAACATTCTGATGAGTCACAAAAATCCTTCACAGAAGATAAGGTACTATTCTATTTGTATGACATTATGGAATGTGCAAAAATAATCCATGGTAAAGATGTTTAGTTACCTCATGGGGATGGAATGATGGCAAGGAAAGACTAGGAAAAGGCATGAGGGAACTTTCTGAGGAAGGTGATAATGCTCTATACCTTGGGTAGGTGTTTGAGATACGCAAATGTATACATTTGTCAAAACTCAGTGAATGATTACAAGTGAGATCTGGGCATTTCACTATGCATAAAGTTTACTTGCACCAGCCACTCCTCGGAAGAAGATGGGGCAAACTACTTCTGTAGTGATACTGCCTCGGAAACCCAAGGAGGGGTCGCTATGAGTCGGGTCCGACTCGACGGCACATAACAACAACAACATGTGTGTGTGCGTGCGCGCGCGTATGTATAATGTGTATATGTGCGTTTAATATAAAATTCCTTTGACTTTTCTACATTTAGGGAAAAAAAATAATCTTCCTCAAACAATCCAAACCTAATGAGGAATTTTACACTGATTGGAACAGGCTGAGAAAGATGAAACCATTGCTCAAGCTTATTATCAGTTGTTACATGTCTCTTGATGGAAGTACACACCACTCTTATGAAATATTTTTGGAGAAGAAAAAAATCAAAACTGAATCTGATCAAGAGTTTAGATTTAATATCAATTTTTAGGCAATAGAAGGGCAGAGAAATATGCTGAACAATGTACAATATATAACAACTAAATAAACTGCAAGGAAAAAGGAAAGACGCAGGGAGAACCTACAGATTAAGTGACTTACAAAATGCCTTATCAAATCTGCAATGTAGGCAGCTTATTTGTATCCTGATTCAAACAAGTGCTAAAAATATATTGTAAAACGAGTGGGGAAATTTGAACACTTACTGAGTATTTGGTAATGAAGTATTTTGAATTATATTGAGGTGTAATATGGTATTGTGGTCCTGACAGTTCTCATCTTTTACAGAGATGTACTGAAACATTTAAGAAGCCCTGCAGCATAATGGTTAAATGCTCAGCTGCTAAGCAAAGGTTAATGGTTTGGAACACCCCTTTTCCCCTCAACCCAGGAGAAAGACCTGGTGATCTGCTTCTGTAAAGATGACAGCCTAGGAAACCCTGTGGATATCCTACTCTGTAACATCCAGTTCCCATGAATGAAAATCCTTGATAGCACCTAACATCAACAATGCTTGAAATATTTATGGATAAAACATGATGTCTGGGTTTTTTTTCAAAATAATCTGAGATGTGGTACTTTAATATAAAGTAAGAATGGCCATAGGCTGAGAATTACTGAAGCAGGATGATGGGACACAGGAGTTGATTACAATATCCCTTCTACTTTCATGTATGTTTGGAATGTTCTAAAATGTAAAGTTAAATAAAATGTTTAAAATTTTCCATTTAATATTACTACTTGACAAAATAAAAACCTCAGCAAAAAGGATTAATTTAATAAATTCAAAACACAATAAACTTGAAATAACCTACCATTCAGATTTTAAAGTATAGTTTGTTTCCAAACCTGTTTTCCTTCCAGGATCCCACTGACACATCATATACCTATCCTCATTCACAATACAATTCAAATTTGTAGGTTTTTCTGGAGGCACTAAAAGAGAATAATTAGCGTTAAAAAAAAGAGCAAAAACCCAAAAAGTTTCATATGACACACAAGACATTTATAACCTATAATTAGATAGAAAACACAAACTCAAGCAAAAAGTACATAATGGAACACTGGTTACTAAGAAGTTAATTTATTTTCTATTATTTAAACTCAAACTTACTTCTAGATAGTAATACACATTTTGTATCATAATTGTCATTTAGTATTTTGTTTCAAATTAATTTTCTAGAAAATTAAACTTCATTTATAACTACAATATACCCTGGCAATTAAGATTTTTTTAAAAAAAATATTTGCACATGTTAGTAAGTAGGAGCTCCTGGTGGTTGGAGCTCTGGTGGCATAGTGCCTAAGGCATTTGACTGCTAACCAGAAGGCTGGCAGTTCAAACCCACCAGCCACTCCTTGGAAGAAAGACTGGGCAATCTATTTCCAAAATAAGTAGAAGCAAAAATAACTGATATATAGTTCTTATCCAGCTATTCTTTCCAAGAAAAAACAAATATCAAAATTATAAAATTTAGGTGATTCACAAATTTGATAATCAATTTTTGGATCATGGAAAGTTTTCTATATTTACTTTGACCTCTATGAAGGTATATTCCCAGTATTTATTCACCTCTGGTTAGCTGCTTTATATGTGCAATTTCTCAGTAATTATGGGGATACTGAAAGTTACTATGAATATATTCACAGGTTTCAATTATGAATACCTTCTTGGGGGCCTCCTGTATGGAATATTCTAGAAACTGACAGATGCTTCATTTTCAAGGACAGATATAAAACTTAATGTTACTCTCTAGCTTTTGTATATTAAAACTGCAAACACAGTTCTTAATTCTAAGGTTTTTTATTTTTTAATGAACGTGCCCATAAGTCAGTGAGGCCACAAATTATTTCATTTCATAAAAACCAACACACAACAATGAAAATGTGGTCATGATAAAGTCTGAAAAAAGACCCTCTCCCCTCAAAAAAACTCACAGCCTGAAATTATTGTGATTCCATAAACATTTTGCTCAATCTGTCCAAATGCATAAAAGTTGCAAGTGAGCTGAGTATTTAATGAAGATATATCTGTAAAAGTGACGCTAGATGCTGTTCTGTTTATGATAGTATATTGCTCCTTAGGAACAGTAGCATGGTTGGTTTTCCAGAAAATGTTCTCAGAATTTACAGCATAATCATTCATACATTCTTCCTTTAGTACACATACTGCAGTAAAATTAGAACCAAGTTGTACAACTGGAGATTCAGGGTAGATAAGACCACATGGATCTAGAAGTACACCTGAAAAGGAACAGAAGAAAACATAAGATTATAAAATTTTATCTGTCTTATAGCCAGACACAGAAAAAAAAGAAAATACATAACTGGAAACAAACACTGACAGAATTTAATGCCTACATTTATAAAGAAAAACACAAATAATAAAAACAGATGACATTGGATTAAGAAAAATCTATTTAGGCTTTCTCACTGCCATCAGGTCAGCTCCGACTCATAATGACCCCTCCTTGGGTTTCTAAGGCATTATCTCTGGAAGTAGATTGCCCAATCTTCCTTCTGAGGAGTGGCTGATGGGTTTGAACCTCCAGCCTTTTGGGTTGCATTCAAATGCTTTAGTATATTATTCTAACTTGTAAGATATACAAACTGCCCACAGCATTATTCATACTTGCCCTATCACTGAGCCTGCCCCTTGATTCAGGCATAGGATCTAAACTAAATTCTTCATCTTATAGAGGATCTCTCCAGATCTGAATGCTGTTGGGAGATAGAACTGGGAGGTGGAAGAGAGAGATAATACACATCATTCATATTAGGCAACAAAGGACACAGCAATGGAGCAGTAAAAAAGAATAGAACAAGACGGGTAAATACGTTAGTTTTAACAATACATGTAGGGGATTAAAATCTCTATTAAAAAACAAAGTATCAGACTGGCTAAAAATAATAAAATGTAAATATATGCTTTAACTACTACCTACTACATGTTGGTAAGTATCACTTATCAACTATCACTAGTTCCAACCTTTCATGTAGGAGCTCTGGTGACATAGTGCCTAAGGCATCTGACTGCTAACCAGAGGCTGGAGGTTCAAAGCCACCACCCACTCCTCGGAAGGAAGATTGGGCAATCTACTTCTGTAGTGCTACCGCCTCGGAAACCCAAGGAGAGGTCTCTATGAGTCAGATTTGACTCCATGGCAGTGGGTTAAACTACAACTTAAAATACTGCACCGAGCATTGTTTGTTATATATTCATAATATCCTATTATCAACCCTTTCTTGGCAATTATATTCTGGTTGTTGAAACTCAGACCGTCATATTAAATGACAGTTTGACCCCTCTCCAGTTTATCTTACATACTGCTACCAGAGTTATTGCTCTAACCTAAATATGTTACTTGCCTATTTCAAATTATTTAATGGGCTTCTTTTAATAGCAAGATAATGTATCACCACACCAACTATTTGGCCTGACTCTATTCTCGTTCTCCAGGCTCACTGTCCACAAACTTAAGGCAGCTTTCCCCAGGGAATCCCATTTATCCTTGTGTGGTTAGCTATCCTATTTGAAATTCAGTTTTCTTACCTGGAAAAGGAAGTTAATAGTAGCCATCTTGAAAGGTTAATTTAAAAAATTACTTACGGAAAATACCTAATATAATGCTTACAACTCAATAAGCCTCCAATAAATTGTAGCCTATCATCATCATTACTACTCTCCAGAGACAGGTAATCTAGTCACAATAGTAAGTCTGGAAGGTTCCCTTAGAAGTGACTGAATCAAGCAGCTAAAGATAAAAGGAAAAGAACTTGAAATTGAAAAAAAACCTTGAAAATATAATGTGGCTTGTTAATATCACTTTGCGTGGTGGTGCAGTAGTTAACCGCTCACCTACCAACTGAAAGGTCAGTGGTTCAAACCCAATAGCTGCTCCAAGGGATAAAGATGTGGCAGTCTACTTCCATAAAGATTTACAGCCTTGGAAACCCTATGGGGCAGTCCTTCTCTGACCTATCAGGTTGTTATCAGTTGGAAGAGACTTGTCACCAACGGGTATAGTTTGGTATACTTAAGTCTCAGTGCTAATAGTATGGAACTCTATTTTGTAGAAGATCTTGGCTAATTACTTACCCTTTGACTCTCGGCCAGTCCTAACAACTCTCTAGACCTCTCTTACTTGGTAAAATCATTCCTGTGACACTTTCCCTAAAGTAATAAACCAAAAACCAAATCCACTACTGTGGAGTCGATTTTAACTCAGAGCAACCCTATAGGGGAAGAGTACAACCACCATGTAGGGTTTCTAAGGCTTTACAGAAGCAGACTGCCACATCTTTCACCTGTGGAGTGGCTGGTTAAGTTCGAACCACTGTCCTTTCGGTTGCAGCCAACTGCTTTAACCACTGCACCACCAGGGCTCCTTAATAACAGGGAATTGTAGACATGAAATATATTCTAAAGTAATATAAGAACACAAGATAGAACCAGAGAGGGAATAATTTTTAATCACAGAGAGTAAGAAATACAAGAAATACGCAAATGCTCCACTTTTCAAAGTAAAGCACAGACTCATTAAAATCAATCCATGTCGAATTGATCTAGTTTTATAGGTTAGCAGGCTACTTGAGATAAAGTGATAGTATTTTAAGATAAAGTTATTTTGTACGTTCATGTGGGCAAGAAGAAATGTGGATTAGAATACACCATACCAGATATCAGATTGAACATTATGAAATTTCTGATATTTTACTATTTTTTATCCTCAAAAACAGAAATTTCATAGGTTCAAATTAATGGATTTGTTATCAGCAAAGAAGAAAGTTAAACAAGAAAGAGGTCCTGAGTAGTATGCTATAGTGCCCTGACCTCTGTGTCCCTATGGCAGATTATATTTTCCAAAGATAGCCCAAACCAAACCCATTGCCACTGAGTCAATTGTGACTCAAAGCAAACTGCCCTACAGGGTTTCTGAGGCTGTAAATCTTCATGAAAGCAGGCTGTCACATCAGAATTGACTGGTTGATTCAAACTGCTGGCCTTTCAGTTATAAGCTGAGTACTTAACCAGCATGCCATGAGGGCTTTTAAAAGATAACCACACCTATATATTTAGTTCATCCCATATGTTCTTAAATGTGACTAATACTCCTTCCACTATGAGGCTGGGATCTGTATTTCCTCCTCTTAGATTTGCGTGGGTGTATGTGTCTGCTCCAGCCAATGGAGTGCTCAAAGTGACTTCCAACCCTACGTCATTAAAATACAGCTTCTGATCAGACTAGATCTTTCTCTTATGGGATATTTGCCCTTAGAACCCAGATATTTCCCTTATAAGGAAGCCAAAGCCACATGGAAAGGCCACATGTGGGTGTTCAAGCCAACACCCCAAGCAAAACCCTCCTCAGTGTACAGCCAGCATCAACACCAGACACATAAATGAATGGGCCTTCAGAGGATTCTAGCCCAAAGTCTGAATCTTCCAGCTGAGGGCCCAGGCATCATAAAGCAAAGATGAACCAGTCTGGTTGTACCTGTCTGTATTACTGATCCACACAAGCCATGAGAAATAGCATTTGTTGTTTTAAACCAGGGTGTGTTGGGGTAATTTTTGAGGCAGTAATAGATAGCTTCTTAAAAGATAATAATAGCTCCTTAATGCTATCTTGTCATTTTCAACATTTTTTATCAGTAACTTGGGGGAAGACAAAGAAGACACACTTATCAAATTTTATGAAACTTACCTATGGATTCAGTGGCAAAGAACATAAATAAGGCTTGCACTATTGTAATCCACCAAGTCAACATCTTGTGTAGATATTTCTGTAAAAGATACATGTAATATTAATTTTAAAATTTCTTTCCTTATGTACACATAATAAGAATCAATTTGTAAAGCTCTTGTGTATACATTATGTAGTTGTTTTCTAAACACTGGTAAAATTGCTATAAAAACTCATAAAATAAATCTTCAGAATGCTTTCCATTATTCCCACTGAAGTCATGGCTATGCAAAACACTGTTAGAAAACAATGTACATTTAAGGTTAATTAAAAGAGCACCAAGAAACTAGGAAAATTGGGGGAAAAAAAGGCTACAAATGTTAATAAGTAGATAAGATTATGTACTACAACTTGGAACTCAAGTTACTACCATTGGGAGTTAGCAGACTATTAGTAGAAAAATATATTTTAAATGTAACTCAGACCCTGTGTAGTCTCGGCGCATAAAGTTTACTTTCTATTCTTAAAAAAATGATGTGCGGGGAGTGATTTCTTGAATGAATGTCCACTTACTGTAAGAAATACTTAATAAGCTTTCTTTGACATAGCACATTAATTCTGAAACTAACATGCACAATAAACTAAATAACTAGTTTACTTATATTGAACACATAACAACCTTAAGTGATAGTTTCTAATTAAGATATATGAAGCTGGGGGATCCGGCAAGATGGCAGACTTGGCAGAAAGACTGCACAGACTCTCTTCAACAAAGAAAAGGGAAACCAATCAACACAGACACAGAAGATAATCCTGGACCACTGAGCCTTCAAGGGAAGGATACAGAAGTGGACTAAACCCCAACTAGAAGAAGAATTTGCATGAAAATACCAAAAAAGGAGACATACGGAGTTGCGGTCTGGCAGCGAGCTGAGCGACCCTGATGGTACAGACAGCTTGGAGATTCCCGAGTGGTGGTAGGACCTAAGAATTAACCTAAAAATCACCCTGCTAGCCAGGGACTGCACAGAGAACTGTGCATGGTGGCTGGGGAACAAACGGAGAAGGTGAAGAGAAAGGTGGGCTAAGCTGTGGACTCTTACCGGTTCGGAGGACGCTGCCATTTTGTAGGTTTAAAAGTGGATTTTGGATATTTAAAGAGGCAGCACTCTCGCAGATTGCTGGGGCTTAAGAACATGTTCTGCTTTCCAGCAACCCCAAGGACACTCGGGACCTGCAAGACTGAAAAGGTACAACATTCCTCTTGTTACCCAACACCCACTTGGTGAATGGAGGTGCGGCCATCCCCCACTCCCATCTACCTTATGGGCCCACAGGAACTCCATCACACTCTGGGTGCTCAGACAGAGCCTGGGTGCCCTGCCCTGTCCTCCACTGATTTTTTTCTTTTTCTTTTATTCTTTTTCCTGCTGGCTAGTTTGCTTCTATTTGTCCGTTTCAAAACAACTAATATTATTAATACTTTTGTCCTTTTTATTATTATTCTTAACCTTCCCCTCCCAGGTCCTAGTTTTCAGCATTTTTTCTTTTCCCT